AAACAAACTAAAACAAATTTTAACAATTTAATGCACGGTGTGAAAATATTTTATGTGATTACGAGGTTGGTTTGATCGATTATGGAAGTAATTAATTCAAATGTATTGAAGATTTAAAGCCACTACAATATATTGTGAAACACAGAATTGCATGTGCATTACTAACTAAATTCTGTTGCAAATGTGATGACAAAAGGATTAATGCCCTCACTGTCATCACTGTTCTCCCCACACCATAACAAGAAGCTTTAGTGTAAAGGATTTTGTATCACATAATGTACTGTGTTATCCAGTGAATATACCCAAGTCATATTTTTTTGCGTATTAACCCATGAAATATGACCTATCACGCCCTGTAATTGGTTGTAAGCTTCAATTGTGACGTCACGCCTAGGACAAGTACATTATGTCACAGACTTACGTATTGGAGTCAAAATGGCGGCTTTTTACATTTCAAGGTTGCATGAATAATGTTGTTTTACACGAATACATGCCACAAAACTTGATTATGTGATAAAAAGGATCTAACACTCGTTTTCATTTCATATGAAATTGATGAAACTCGTCACAATTTTTCATTTTAGCTCGCCAGAGGCTCGCTAAATTGAAAAATTCTTAAGACTCCTTTCATATAAAAACCTCATATGAAATAGAAACGCATGTAAGATCCTATATATATACACTCACTGATCTTGTGAAAACATGTCAACAAATTGTGCTGTAAATGTGGGTTGTTGGAGGTGAGATTTTCCTACCATCAAACCTAGTCTGACTCTATAGCTAATGGTGTGACAAACTGTAGGCACAGACATCTCCGGCAGCCTGCTAATGGCTGATAGCAACAGCCTGCCATCAACTCTGTACCAGTCTAGCTGGAAACTGCAATGGAACGCTGAGATAAGCACAAAGTAAACGACAGATGTAAATCTATGTGCAAGAAGCTTCCTGAGCATTCCCCAGAAGATGAATTAATAGAAAATATTATTGGGACATTTTTTTTCATTATTTGTTCTAGAGCATGTACATATATACACTGCGCCAACTTTCCTACCTTGTATAAATACACATGAAGCATTTGATACCTAGATAATAGAATCTAGACATGTACCTATCACACATTCTCAATAATAAATGTCATCACTCATGTATATAAAACTGATCACCTGGATAATAGAAATATTCATGTAGTGTCATCCAGATAGATTGTATACCATGTACACTACCACCTTTGTTTATGATGCAAACACAATTTATAAACACAATTTAATATATTCAATAAGAATCATCAGTTTGGAAATTATAATGTATACTTTAATTACTGAAGTCCATGCTTTAATATACAAACAATGTATGATTAAACGTGTTCCAATGTTTCAAATCATAGCTAATGACAGATCGAGGGACAAAACATCGCGACACTGATTCAATACGAACATGTTACATTGTTTACGTATAAAGCAAAACTTTGATATTGTAATTAATATGTTTTTCTGTGTTTTTACTCCTCAGGTATCAGTAAAATCATTTGTATGAATACAATGTACTTAAAAAATGCTCTCATCAGCTGTTGGTCACCTATTAGACACTAGGATTGTTACCAGAAATTTGTATTTGTCTATAAATACGGTATATCTTGATAAATACAAATATAGAAATTTGATATCTGCAGCATTTATTTCACATAGTGCAATTATTCTGAATGCTCACAACAGTTTAAATACCAGGAAGTCTTTACATGTAAGTCATCCACAGCTGTTGTACAATACAACTGAACCTCCAGTGATAGGTATTTTTTTAAAGGAAAAGACCTGACCAAGGTGTTTAACTCCAGGCTAAAATTACATTCTGGCCCTCCTATTATATTTCCATTGAGTAATAAACTTCACATGTAAACAAAGAGCATGGGTGTTGATGACTGAAAATGGTTTTGTCACTCCTTCCTATAAGGATGTGTGATCGTGTGTTTATTCCCCACACAAGTTTTATTGGATTTTCCTTCACACATCAAAAAGTACATCACAAGGTAAACTATCAACCAAGATTTTCCTGAGTAAAATTAAATTGTTGAGCATGCATGATTTACTGAGGTGTAAACAAAGTAAAACATAAAGTAAGTAATTGGATATGTAGGATTTTATCGTCCTATGCTTCCACGATGCATGTGGTGGAAGACCTTTGTAGAATCTAAATTTGGTAAGTATACTTGTGACCTCACTAAAAAATATATTCACAGATCCTGCTCAGACTTGGAGACATAATAAACTTTCACTACGAGCAAAATAAAATGCAGATTGAAATAGCTAGGTTCACAACTGGTAACAGTGACTGAAAATATCTAAGAACACACAGAACTGTAAAAACTCAATGTTGTACTTATATAGTACAGAATATTACACCTCTATTATCACAGATAATACTTCCTTTACTGCCACTTTTGATATCATGACTCAACTTGTATAAACCTGCTAATGCAACCACGTGCGCCTTCATTATAAGAATATGACAATTGAAGATTCTCAAAGATTTGGTACTGTTTAGATATATTTGAGGACAACAGGGACCCAAGACTGTTCAGTGTTTCCTTGAAACCAATCAACATGCCCTTGTTCTTTATTTAGAATTGATAAGGTAATCATGTATGTTTTATCTTAAATGGTAATTACTGCATGGCCTTTTTACCATATGTCAAGTGTTAATTATGATTGTAAAACAAAATCATTATTTATCAACTTTAGATACACTACTTAAATATCACAGCGTATCATGAAACAAAATGAAATTAATCATGAAGGTGTTCTATCTCAATATTAAATTTACTGTTGTCCTTTTGATCACAAGTTGTACCCATTACCTGTGAATAAAACAGACGCCTACAAAAACTTCAGTGGTGGTATATGTATATACTGCATGATTTTTATGTGTAAACATATGTATGTCTTTTAAATCTATATCTGCACTTGGTGTTACCTTGTTAATAGATGAGATACACAACAGCGGAGCCTTTTAACTTTCTCATGTACACATGAACTTACATGTAAGTAAATACAGCGACCATTTAAAAGTGTCTATTTTAGTGATCACAGTGAGCAAGCTTTCCTTTTCCATGAGAGACATATATAGTTTGTAACACTACAGGTATCAATATACCAATGGCTGTGCCAAACATAGCAGATAACAGGAAATCAGTTTATTAGGGAAAAGGTTGGTAAGATTCTAAATTTAAATAAAAAATGTTAAGAGCAATTAAAATTCTGCATGAATTGATTTTATCATGAGTGTATTTTATTACCATATATATGTGAAATTTCAGGATGTTTTTCGCTTAATTAATCTTGATTCTGTACGTCTCATGAAGAAAAACTGTGGATGGAAGTGAAGATAGATTGATAGAAACCATGATTACTATAGAATACCCGCATCTCTAATATGGGGCCCTAAGTAATGCAGGATTTTATTTTCAGTGACATATTCTCAGTGCAATTAAATATATCGCATCACCAACTATCAATGGTATGAACCCTGTGTGTTCATGACCTAGAAACTCAAACAAAAACTAACACAGTCGTATTTCCATGCCATGTAAGTTTCTTATTACCAGGTATTCACACAAGGTTCTCAGAACACACACTAACATAATAATCTATGATCTGTATGATACTATTAATGTTGTCACCATATTAGTTATGGGTGGTAAGTATGTATATGTGAATCCAACCCCTCATGAAGGTTCCCAAACATCAATAGCCTTACGCAGATTACAGTATGTATGTAAACAGTAAATTACCCATATCAAAATAAAATCCAGTAATGGCAACATGGATCATAACTTTCATAATGAAAAAAGAAAATATATCAATAAAATCATTTCAAGATTCTGTAATCTTCCTTCTTGTAACATGATTACCCTTGGTAGGCAAATTATCATTGAAATAGAGAAATTTGTATAAATGTTTTTAAGCACAACTGATCAGAAAACTAATTTCCACATTAATCAAAAACAGACAACTCAAATGGTTCTACAAGTTAACATGATCATGAGGTTTTAAACAACATGTCAACGAAATCTAGAATGAGGAAGTGTCAGAAGTGAGTTACACAAGAGACTTGTGTTGTGACTGAGGTTTAATACACCTTGTTAAACCAATCAAACATGAACACAAACTGAACATATAACATCCTCACTGAACTATATATACCACTGACGGGTTAGGGGGGTTACAGGATGATACTAGGATGGACTGTTTTTACGTAAGAAAGGACAACATCTTGAAACAAGGCAAAGCACTGCAAGCTACTCATAGTGCCCAACCTCCTCTACCAAATTTAAGTATCTACAATAAACTAATAGCCATAACCCATACAAAATTTGCTATTTGTAGGTGACACAGTATAATATATGCCCAGGACAAAGTGACACACAGCGAACAAAGGGCCATTACTCTGTATATATCATAGTGGTGAATGTAGCTTAACTTACTCTGCCATCTCCTGAGTTACTCTTACAGATTTCGGCAATAATACTATAGTAGTTGACTGCAGGTTAAGTGACAGACTGCACCGTTTATACATATTAAGGGTCATAATTTGGAATTAGTCAGGCAGGTAGTACTCATTTTACAACCATAAGGTTTAGACACCCTTAACTTTTCAGACTGAATATAAAGGATGTGGACTACTAGGATTATAGAACCCTGTAGACTGGCATTTTAAGGATGAGTATACTCAGCCAAAAGGGAAATAGAGGAATCTGTAAGAAGTACAAATGTGAAGGATGAAGTCTACATAGGATTAGAAAACCCAATACCAAGTATATAAAGGCAAAGGATGTGACCTTGTAGCCTATAGAGTACATGCAGATATACAAGAGACTTTAGGCCATTGCAAAGGTAAAAGACTCATACATAGCCTACCTAAGGGATGAAGAGGACCCTCCTGGACATTACACAAGATGAGGGAATTTAGAGGATCTTTTCGGCCAGTAAAAAGGTGAATGAACCTACCTGGGGATATAGAGGACCCTCTCGGCCAGTACAAATCCAACTCTGAATAGGAGATTAGAGGCAGGCAAGAATGGCAGCACCAGTAGGAGAAGACTGACGAGGTGAGCATCTGATTTACATGTGGCCCGAGTCTGTAAAGGGAATATCAAAACAGTAAAGCTACATTAAAAAAACACAGCTATTAAATAACTACATGTAACTCTGTAAATCTACTGTACTAGTCATAGCCTGTTTTCAGGATATTGTCACCAGGAGGGATAGGTAACCATTGTTACAGCAGAGGAGAAATGCACTGCCAGACTTGGATTCAAACCTAGGACCTTCCAAACTCTAGACCAACCCTCCACCAATTGAGTTACCAGGTTACAAGTGTACAACCCAGACAAGTTTGTTACAACTGGTATGGTAAACTGACAAGGATATCATAGCACATATAAACATTTGGGGGTTCATTACACTTTACAAATATGTTTAGATTCATTAATTTGTTTACATGTGCTGTGACACTATCAAGTGTTTGTATCATAGACATTTGTAACAAACCCATGAGTAAGCAAGTGGGTGGGGCATTTCAAAAGCCAGAAGAATCAATGACGCATCCCTCCACAAATGTTTTGATATATAAGGCATACCTTTGGTATGTCCTAAGTATGCCTTAGGTACCCCAAAATGTGTACCTCAAATGTGCCTTTTTTCCCCTGGGTACATCTGTTTATAGATATAGCTATTATATAAATATAAAATAGTTACTAACAGGACAGTATCTAGAGAATAATACATGTCTTTTTCCATATCACACCCAGTATCAACCCGAGACTGCAATATCAGCCCAAGTGCCAAAGGCCCAAGGGCTGATATTGGTCGAGGGTTGATACTGGGTGTGATATGGAAAAAGGCGTGTTTTATTCTGTTTATTACATACTTACTTATAAAAACTACTATCTTTGATTTATTTATCTTTTGAAATATTGAAAAACGAAAAATTTCCAAAAGGGGTGTGATAGGGTTTTGCAGGCTGATACGGAGAGGGCTGATACAGGTTTTGGGGTATGATACACCCGGGGCTGATACAGGTTTTGGGGTGTGATATAGCGAGGGTTGATATGGGTTACAGCAATTGTGTAGTATCGCATATACAAAAAACACGTATTTATTAGAAAGTATGTAATAAATGTCAATATTTAACCGTGTGATTCATATTTGCTTCTGAAACTACCAATAGACAAAAGTAGCATCAAACCTCCGCGGAAAGGTCATATTCGATTAAAAGTCCCTTTCGTTTATTTCCCCAATCTGGCTTAGTAAACTGAAACTCACTCAGATCATGATACACTTTGACATCTGGCAACTGTGATTGTGCAGTACAGTTTACCTGTCTAGTACAGTTTACCTGTGCAGTACAGTTTACCTGTCTAGTACAGTTTACCTGTGCAGTACAGTTTTACATGTGCAGTACAGTTTTACCTGTGCAGTACAGTTTACCTGTGCAGTACAGTTTACCTGTGCAGTACAGTTTACCTGTGCTGTACAATTGCTGAATGGATGATACACGTTTCTTTCCCTGTGTGAGTACCCAGAGCTAATTAGTCAGGACTAAGTACAGGTGCATTTTTATCAATATATTTATAGATCCCTAACACATTTCATAAATTAATACATAAATATACATATTAACAACTAAAATATGCATACTTTAAAATACAGTTGTCGGCACTTTAAAAAAGGCCATTCAATATTGAATATTAGAGACGAGCTACAGTCAGTCAAGAGTTTGTTGGTGAACTTTTAACTGGACGTCTACTGTTAAACATGGTTCGCATCTTTATTGAAAGGGTCACTTTCTTCTATCAAATGGTATTGACAATATTATAATAGGACAATAAAACAAAGTCTGCTAATATATGGGTATATACAAATATCTCAAATACACTTGCAAAGGAAGTTGAAAATTTCATGGATTAAAGATCCTGACAATAAAACAAATTTCTTTAACATTAAAAATACTTACATCAAAATTCTTCCACCAATGCCATGTAAGTAAAGCAAACAAAGCAAAAAAAGTGATGGTTGTCAGGTTACGAAGGTCAAAGATGCTCTCAACCAATGGGATGCTACCGACTTGCCAATCATAGTAAAGTGTGGAGGGAAACAGGAGGAGCAGGCCATTGTACATCCATAAGTAGGAGTATGTCAGACACCTGGGAATAAACAAGGAACATTGTATGTCAGACACCTGGTAATAAACAAGGAACATTGTACATCTACAGTTAACAGTATGTCAGACACCTGGTAATAAACAAGGAACATTGTACATCTACAGTTAACAGTATGTCAGACACCTGGTAATAAACAAGGAACATTGTACATCTACAGTTAACAGTATGTCAGACACCTGGTAATAAACAAGGAACATTGTACATCTACAGTTAACAGTATGTCAGACACCTGGTAATAAACAAGGAACATTGTACATCTACAGTTAACAGTATGTCAGACACCTGGTAATAAACAAGGAACATTGTACATCTACAGTTAACAGTATGTCAGACACCTGGTAATAAACAAGGAACATTGTACATCTACAGTTAACAGTATGTCAGACACCTGGTAATAAACAAGGAACATTGTACATCTACAGTTAACAGTATGTCAGACACCTGGTAATAAACAAGGAACATTGTACATCTACAGTTAACAGTATGTCAGACACCTGGTAATAAACAAGGAACATTGTACATCTACAGTTAACAGTATGTCAGACACCTGGTAATAAACAAGGAACATTGTACATCTACAGTTAACAGTATGTCAGACACCTGGTAATAAACAAGGAACATTGTACATCTACAGTTAACAGTATGTCAGACACCTGGTAATAAACAAGGAACATTGTACATCTACAGTTAACAGTATGTCAGACACCTGGTAATAAACAAGGAACATTGTACATCTACAGTTAACAGTATGTCAGACACCTGGTAATAAACAAGGAACATTGTACATCTACAGTTAACAGTATGTCAGACACCTGGTAATAAACAAGGAACATTGTACATCTACAGTTAACAGTATGTCAGACACCTGGTAATAAACAAGGAACATTGTACATCTACAGTTAACAGTATGTCAGACACCTGGTAATAAACAAGGAACATTGTACATCTACAGTTAACAGTATGTCAGACACCTGGTAATAAACAAGGAACATTGTACATCTACAGTTAACAGTATGTCAGACACCTGGTAATAAACAAGGAACATTGTACATCTACAGTTAACAGTATGTCAGACACCTGGTAATAAACAAGGAACATTGTACATCTACAGTTAACAGTATGTCAGACACCTGGTAATAAACAAGGAACATTGTACATCTACAGTTAACAGTATGTCAGACACCTGGTAATAAACAAGGAACATTGTACATCTACAGTTAACAGTATGTCAGACACCTGGTAATAAACAAGGAACATTGTACATCTACAGTTAACAGTATGTCAGACACCTGGTAATAAACAAGGAACATTGTACATCTACAGTTAACAGTATGTCAGACACCTGGTAATAAACAAGGAACATTGTACATCTACAGTTAACAGTATGTCAGACACCTGGTAATAAACAAGGAACATTGTACATCTACAGTTAACAGTATGTCAGACACCTGGTAATAAACAAGGAACATTGTACATCTACAGTTAACAGTATGTCAGACACCTGGTAATAAACAAGGAACATTGTACATCTACAGTTAACAGTATGTCAGACACCTGGTAATAAACAAGGAACATTGTACATCTACAGTTAACAGTATGTCAGACACCTGGTAATAAACAAGGAACATTGTACATCTACAGTTAACAGTATGTCAGACACCTGGTAATAAACAAGGAACATTGTACATCTACAGTTAACAGTATGTCAGACACCTGGTAATAAACAAGGAACATTGTACATCTACAGTTAACAGTATGTCAGACACCTGGTAATAAACAAGGAACATTGTACATCTACAGTTAACAGTATGTCAGACACCTGGTAATAAACAAGGAACATTGTACATCTACAGTTAACAGTATGTCAGACACCTGGTAATAAACAAGGAACATTGTACATCTACAGTTAACAGTATGTCAGACACCTGGTAATAAACAAGGAACATTGTACATCTACAGTTAACAGTATGTCAGACACCTGGTAATAAACAAGGAACATTGTACATCTACAGTTAACAGTATGTCAGACACCTGGTAATAAACAAGGAACATTGTACATCTACAGTTAACAGTATGTCAGACACCTGGTAATAAACAAGGAACATTGTACATCTACAGTTAACAGTATGTCAGACACCTGGTAATAAACAAGGAACATTGTACATCTACAGTTAACAGTATGTCAGACACCTGGTAATAAACAAGGAACATTGTACATCTACAGTTAACAGTATGTCAGACACCTGGTAATAAACAAGGAACATTGTACATCTACAGTTAACAGTATGTCAGACACCTGGTAATAAACAAGGAACATTGTACATCTACAGTTAACAGTATGTCAGACACCTGGTAATAAACAAGGAACATTGTACATCTACAGTTAACAGTATGTCAGACACCTGGTAATAAACAAGGAACATTGTACATCTACAGTTAACAGTATGTCAGACACCTGGTAATAAACAAGGAACATTGTACATCTACAGTTAACAGTATGTCAGACACCTGGTAATAAACAAGGAACATTGTACATCTACAGTTAACAGTATGTCAGACACTTGGTAATAAACAAGGAATATTGTACATCTACAGGTAGTAGTATGTCAGACACCTGGTAATAAACAAGGAACATTTTACATCTACAGTTAACAGTATGTCAGACACCTGGTAATAAACAAGGAACATTTTACATCTACAGTTAACAGTATGTCAGACACCTGGTAATAAACAAGGAACATTGTACATCTACAGGTAGAAGTATGTCAGACACCTGGTAATAAACAAGGAACATTGTCCATCTACAAGTATGTCAGACACCTGGTAATAAACAAGGAACATTGTACATCTACAAGTATGTCAGACACCTGGTAATAAACAAGGAACATTGTTCATCTACAGGTAGTAGTATATCAGACACCTGGTAATAAACAAGGAACATTGTATGTCAGACACCTGGTAATAAACAAGGAACATTTTACATCTACAGTTAACAGTATGTCAGACACCTGGTAATAAACGAGGAACATTGTACATCTACTGTTAACAGTATGTCAGACACCTGGGAATAAACAAGGAACATTGTACATCTACAGTTAACAGTATGTCAGACCCATGGTAACAAACAAGGAACATTGTACATCTACAGTTAACAGTATGTCAGACCCATGGTAACAAACAAGGAACATTGTACATCTACAGGTAACAGTATGTCAGACACCTGGTAATAAACGAGGAACATTGTACATCTACAGCTAACAGTATGTCAGACACATGGGAATAAACAAGGAACATTGTACATCTACAGTTAACAGTATGTCAGACCCATGGTAACAAACAAGGAACATTGTACATCTACAGGTAACAGTATGACAGACACCTGGTAATAAACAAGGAACATTGTATGTCACGGACACCTTGTAATAACCAAGGAACATTGTACATCTACAGCTAACAGTATGTCAGACACATGGGAATAAACAAGGAATATTGTACATCTACAGTTAACAGTATGTTAGACACCTGGTAATAAACAAGGAACATTGTACATCTACTGTTAACAGTATGTATTGTACATCTACAGGTAACAGTATGTCAGACACTTGGTAATAAACAAGGAACATTGTACATCTACAGGTAGTAGTATGTCAGACACTTGGTAATAAACAAGGAACATTGTACATCTACAGCTAACAGTATGTCAGACACATGGGAATAAACAAGGAACATTGTACATCTACAGCTAACAGTATGTCAGACACATGGGAATAAACAAGGAACATTGTACATCTACAGGTAGTAGTATATCAGACACCTGGTAATAAAAAAGGAACATTGTACATCTACAGGTAACAGTATGTCAGACACTTGGTAATAAACAAGGAACATTGTACATCTACAGCTAACAGTATGTCAGACACCTGGTAATAAATAAGGAAAATTGTACATCTACAGTTAACAGTATGTTAGACACCTGGTAATAAACAAGGAACATTGTATGTCAGACACCTGGTAATAAACAACGAACATTGTACATCTACTGTTAACAGTATGTATTGTACATCTACAGGTAACAGTATGTCAGACGCCTGGTAATAAACAAGGAACATTGTACGTCTACAGTTAACAGTATGTCAGACACTTGGTAATAAACAAGGAACATTGTACATCTACAGTTAACAGTATGTCTGACCCCTGGTAATAAACAAGGAACATTGTACGTCTACAGTTAACAGTATGTCAGACACTTGGTAATAAACAAGGAACATTGTACATCTACAGTTAACAGTAAGTCAGACACCTGGTAATAAACAAGGAACAGTGTACATCTACAGTTAACAGTATGTCAGACCCCTGGTAATAAACAAGGAACATCGTACATCTACAGGTAACAGTATGACAGACACCTGGTAATAAACAAGGAACACTGTACATCTACAGTTAACAGTATGTCAGACACTTGGTAATAAACAAGGAACATTGTACATCTACTGTTAACAGTATGTATTGTACATCTACAGGTAACAGTATGTCAGACGCCTGGTAATAAACAAGGAACATTGTACATCTACAGTTAACAGTATGTCAGACACCTGGTAATAAACAAGGCACACTGTACAGGAAACAGTTGTCCAGAGGTACCCTCAATACCGGAGTATCTTACAATTATGTGTTTATTAACATTAGCTTGATAAGTATCCTACTAAAACATTTTAATTCCAATATAGAAATTGGTTGTGTAAATTCCTGTGGAGATTAACATCATTAATAAAGTAATATGACTATACCACAAATCAACAACCCACTAATTATAAGTGTGATCAAGGTATAATTATACTGAAGAAATGGTTGACTTCAGATGGAATTAAAATGCAGACTTCAGACAGGTTCTTCAGAAGGACAGAAGAAAAATTTTTGGCTTATCTTTTTTATATCAAATCACCTAAACTCATTGTTTTTTCAAAATAGTCATTTAGCTCTTG